TTATTTTTGTTTTGGCCAATCAACAATAAATATATCTTGACCTATACATTTTCTGTTTAACAGCATCATGCTAATTGATTTTCATCATTAAAAGATCCTCAAATGGCAGCTGAATTATCAAAACCTTCAAAGAAAGTATGCATTGAACTTAGTGTTGCTTGATTGGTAAGTATTTTCTTCTTGCACACTATTCTTTAATACATGCTGATCCAGGTACTCCATACCATATAGATTTTTAAATATTTTTTAGCATCCACATATACCAAAGTTTGTGCTAGACTTTTGAGGGAGTAAAATTGCACATAAGATATGGCCCTGGCATTCCAGACACTTATATTCTAATAGTACAGATGATTAAACATATATACACATAGAAGTAAAAGTATAGGCAGGATTGAAATAGAGGTGTCAAATTGGCTTCAGTTAGGGTTTTCAATAGCAGCACTACTAACATTTTTAATCAGATCATTCTTGGTGGGGAGCAGTCCCATATATTATGGAATGTTTCACAGCATCCATGACCTCTACCCACTAGATGCCAATAGCACCTTCCCTGTTGTGACAACCAAAGATATATCCAGATATTGCCAACGGTCCCCTGAGGACTGAGCAGAAATCACTTGTAGTTTTGAATGACTGTATTAGGTGGAAAGCCCTATGTGCATTTTGCTAACGTAGATAACTTCTAGTCAGGGAAAGCAAGTACAGTCTATAGAGGGAAAGGTGGCTGATTTGAACAGGTTGAAAAGAGGAGAGTATTTCAGGAGTAGAGAAGGTAATGAGAAACTGGTTAAACTGATGATGGGAAGCCAAGTGGATAAATATAAATCTTTTTTATTGTTAGTTTCAGGTGTACAGAACAATGCAATAGTTATCCTTTTAAGGATGAATATAAATTATCTTTGAGTCATGTAGCATTGGGTGCTCAGGAGGTGGTTAGTAGAGACAAACTGATCAAGTAAAAACCAATCAAATTATGGAAGTCCTTGAAGATAAAATGAAGAGTATGTTTTTCATTTTGTAAGAATGCCGTTTGAACATGGCAGTGAAATGAATAAGGCATTATTCTGAAATGTTAATATGTCAGTTCTTGGAAGAATGATTTAGGCAAATAAGAAAGTCTATTTTAGGGATTCCGTTAAGGACATAATTTGGCAGAAACTGAGGAGTATATTTATGGGAGATGCATCTCCTAGCATGGGATGAGAGAGAAAAAACAAGTGAAGAAGTAAGCTTTATAGCTTGCTTCTATGTTTCATCTCATAAATTGCTGTTTAAATTGTTTTCTCATAATAGAGTTGACAGTTATTGATAGAGCTGATTGGCAGATGTGCCCAGATTCTCTGGGACTCGATGAAGTGGAAAGTTGTAACTGATGTTGCAGAGCGGTGAAATCAAAGATGATATTATTCTCAAAAGCAACTCTCCAATGACATATAGAAAGTAAGAATCCAAGAGTTTAAATAATCTTGTTGAAGAAAAGCATTCAATTTAAACTCCAAGGCCTGGCACAGGAAAAGTCCTCACTACTTGTCTGCTGAATGAAGATCTCTGTAATTAATATTTATCCACATTAGGGTTCTCACCACACAAGCAGACTTTTGAAAGCCTCCTCATTTCTCTCACGCCTTTTGAGAGTTTTGACCTAAGCTTATCATGATCCATTTGCATCATGAAATATTAGGACAGGACATAAGTTAATTTCATATGATATGCAACTATAATACTAGAACCTCTGAAAACCCCATCTAAAGAATTATGTGTATACTTGGTAAATTTACTGTTGATTCGTAACTACACTATTCACTTGCTCTGAAAAGATTTACTATCCCTTTGAACATCAAAGCCTCTCATGTACAGATTGTTTTTTGGGTTTTTTTAGACAGTGAAATGGTTATGTGCAAGATCAGTAGTCACATTTCCAACAGCGCACCAAGCATGTGGAATAGCAGTCCCCTGCCGGCTCCACAGCTCAGATGTCCACCATGGCTAGCAGCACCGAAAGATGGAGCTCAGAGACCACCTCCTCTTTCCTAGTCATCGGGATCAGTCTGTCCAGGTGAGGTACCCGTTCACTCAGAGATGTGCCTGCTGCCTCTGACAACTGCACTTGGTCCCCTCTCCTTTCATTCTGAGGGCCGGGAGCAGCCGAAGTCTTCCTCACAGGTGTGAGAGTATTAAAAATAGGGAGAAGAAAAGCAACTGTTAAAAAGAAAGTCATCACCCGCTCTTCACCTCCATACCTTCTTCCATTCTTGCCCAAGTCACCTCTGACTGAGATCTAAGAAAGGCGCATTTTCTGAAATCATGAAGACCTTCTATATCCTTTGTTTGCCAACAGGCTAGTATATTTATTTTAGAAATTCTTAAACTGACATTTTTGAGATTATGACACCCAAACTTTAAATTTTTGGTAGACACCACCCACCCCCGCCCAAAATGCACTCTTTGAAAAATACAGATGCAATGAAATAATAAACGATTAACTAATAAGAAATGAAAACCTAAGGAAATTGGTGGAAAACCAATTTAATCTCAGGCACAAGAGTTTTGATTTTGATAAATAAGCAAACTCTAGTTTCATAAGCAGGGAATTAAATATTGGTGGAAATTCAAGACAGGGTTTTTTGTTCCTAGCTGTTAGATAAAAAAATAGATAATAAGCAGAAGAAACTTGAATAAGTGAGACAAGTTAAGAGGCTGCTGCAGTAATCCAGATGTTGTTCATTTATCAAAAGCAGCTAATAAGTATCCACCATATTAATGGCACTTTATTAGATACAAATTAATGCTTACTTGAGCTAGGGCAGTGAATCCAGACATGGAAATGGTCCTATTGAATATTAATAAAATGATTAAACCTGCTCAGTTGACCATTTCTTCTTGAGGCCTTTATTCCTACATTTACTAGACTTTACATCTGTGAAACAAATCCAGCTTTGGGGATGCTTGCCTAAAATAAATTGCATTAAGAATCATGGGGAGAATTTTGCTAATAGATGCTGATCAACTGCGTATCAGTCTGTAACAAGAGGACATACTCTTCTGAGTGAAACAGCACCTGGTTGTATAAGACGAGGGGGAGGAACAATGGTGGGGAGCAGAGCAGCTTCCCCCAGGTTTTATCAAAGGCTCTATTTCTGTCAGTCAACAGAGAATTGAAATCCATCCCAGTCCTGCAAGAATGCTTTTAGTGAGTTGTGAGTCTGTTCATTATAAGAAATGAATGAACCAAATAGCCACGATTATTGATCGTTTCTGTCCTTATGGCTTTAACTGGAAGTGGTTTTTTCAAAGGTCCCAAAAGCTATTTCCAATTTTTTTTCTTAATTTGATCCGCAGTATTGTGGATACAACTCATTCTAGCCACATCTGATCTGTTCTATCAGACCATTGGGAATGATTGTTAATGAATAAAGGAACTGCGTTTGAAAGCCTTTTTAATCCCTCTATATAATTTAAAATTTATATCTAACTAAATAAAAGACAAAACACCTAGATTGTTACAAAACTAAATTTTAGTCCCATTTCTGATTTTGGAATAAAGCATATATCTAAAAAAAATCTAAAAGATCCAAGAAATCTAAAAATGTGGCTGAGAAATGAAATCTCTCAAACATTCTCTTTCTGCCTTATTAACGTAATAGTCACCATTTGGAATTTTTAAAGTAATATAAATTCTGATCACATGTTTTTTGGTAGTATTTTATAAAACTGATGAAGTGGTATAAATGAGTTTTCTTTTATGTAACTTATTTTTGGAAGGATAAGATATTTAAACATAATCAGTGATCAAATTTGGCAATTTTAAATACTTGGTTAATATAAAGATATCTCAATCTATACAGTAATATATACTCTTTTCATAAAGAATTGACCATACACTCTGATTTTTTTTCCCTCGTTTTCTAACATTCAGCAAGCATTTGTTGATCCATCTTATGTGTTAAGTGCAGTACAAGGGACTGAGCACGTAGGGGTGTATAGGACAGCTCCCCATTCTCAAAGAGTTGACAGTCTAGTAGAGGAGACAATTAATCATAGACTGAGACATGCAGAAAGTGTAAAAAGTATGACCACAGAGATGAGCACTTAAGAGAATATGTAAGTCAGAGTAAGGGTTTTGTATCGTAATGTTGTTTATTCTTTTTCCAGTATATCAAAATCCTGACAAAAATCTCAGAAGTTTCCTATGAAAAATGGCAACATGAACATGTGACTTTTATAAACTCTTCAGTATCTTCATAGTCTCTAAAAGGCTTGAAGGGATCTACCAGTTTCCTTTATGAAAACCCATCAAATATTTTCCACATTTTGACATTCCTATGAGATCTTTTAAAGCCCACCACATTTTATTTGGGGAGTATCTTTCTGAGTCAAAAGTATTATATCCTCCCCTCCTCCACTCTGTTTCTCTCCCACTTTTTCCCTAAATAAGTCTAGACGCATTTCTTTTCTTTGGCTTGTAAATATGATTTATTTGCTTTAGAAGAAAAAAAAAGGGAAACACTGAAAAACCTGTGGTGTATTTTCTGCTTCAGTAAATGGGTCACACTTTGTCAAATATCAAATATATTAAGCTTTTGTGAAGTTCTGTTTTTCTCAAATACTGGGTTGCTGCATTGGATATCAAAGGGTAATTTATTTTGTTCTAAATAGGCTTTTACTCAATCCATTTTTTTACGTCAAATCATGACTACTTCAAAAAAGATAACTCAGAGATAAATTAGAATGTTTAAAGGAAAGGAATATTGTTTTTGACTTTTATTTGGGCAACTGCACGCTGCCCGTCTTATTTGGAGATGATTACTGCAAACTGAAATCCGAAAAATATCTGATTCATTAATTTTCTTGTGGCAGTGATGAATTTGAGGTGATCGATCCCTGAGAAAAATGGCCCTGTCAAAAAGTAGCTTCTACCAACAGGAAGATCAAAAGTTGCCATCCTCGTAGGGATTGAACCTAGAGCACACGCACCAACAACTATACATATAAACTAAGGTAGGAATTACATATAGTCAAGAATATGCCATTCACAGTCAATTGCTTAACTCTTTAATTTGATCTGAACATTTAATTTTTGACTGTAAGCTATTTTTCAAAATTGTTGATGCTATAACCTTATTTGTTAGGATGAACTCATGTCATTCCATTAAAGCTCTCCAGTAAAATGACAAAATACGACATGTACACATTCAAATTCTAGAAGTTATTTTTGTTCTAATAAAGCCCCTAGCACAATGTCTGGAATAGCATAAGTTCTCATTAAATATTTTTTCTCCCTATTCTCTATGATATTTCTCATGATAAATTATTTTAAGTGGGGCTTAATTCTCATCTCATGCGAGGACTAATCTAAATGCTACATAACACAATCTTTTCCAAAAATCATTTGGTATTAAAATAATATTTACCCATTGCTAGGTATAGTAAAATTTGTTTTAATTCACAAATTTCTATTGGCTATACTCACATTATTTGGCCAATCTTTTCACAAACATAGGCATTCCTGTTTTCTTTTAGAACATTTTCATAATGCTAAAAAATGACCACAGCACCGTGAAAAGAATAAACGGGCACGTAAATGGATACTGATATCTTCCTCTTGGAACCAACTTTTACCTTCTTTTCTGTTTACATCTATTTTCATGTCTCTTTCAAATCCATCTCAAAAGAGTTTCATAATTCTTTGAACCAGTAATCAGCTGGGTGCTCTGGTGCTCTTGTTGATTGATTTATGGCTTTCTTCTCCCTTGTGTTTTCAATCAAATGACTGCTTCTGACAGGAAAAAAAAAAAAAAAGAGACAAACTCAGATCCTGACTCACATTCTGACAATTCATGCTTTCCCTGTAACCATCATCCTAGATTCAGGACTCCATGACCTCACACTTAAGTTGTTGACAAAACAAATTACTAGCATACCTTCCTGCCTCCAATCTCCTTTCACCTGATTGCCCTACTGACAGAAAGCCTTAGAAGCATGTCTTCCATATTGTTGCTTCCAGCTTAAAATCTTAAATGATCTCTCATTTCTATCAAATCAAAATTCCCCAGTTTGACAGTCAAGGCCCAATATTAACTCACCTTCGATAGCACTGATATATTACTTGTCACAACTCAATAGATATCCCTGTACACAGTCACAAGCACATGTATTTGATATTTAAACTTGTCTCAGCCACTACTTTTCTGAAAATATTTTCTGACCCTTCCACCTTGTCCATGGTTAGGTATACCTCCCTTCCCAGAGTACCTCCAGCAAATCCATCAGAGAGCAGAACATGCTGTATTATCATTTTTTGCTTATTTGTCTGTGCTCCATTAGGATGTAAGTTCCTTGTGGGCAGAAAGATGTCCTATTCATCTTCCTAGCTCTATCTAATACCTACCAAAGTATTGGCATATAGGAAATGCTCGAAAATGATTGTTGAACGAACAACATTTCCTGAATTAGGTATTGTGTTTCTGATGCCAAAAAGCTTACTGATGTCTCTTCTAATTAAAATGCTGCCTGTCTCTTTCTCTTGCTTTATCTTTTTTCTACCTCCTAAACTTGGATTAAATTTAACTTCTTTGGAAATTGTGCGATAGTCATCAAAGACAAGGAGAAATGTGACCTGGGGCTTCCAACATGAAACTTAAAATAATTTGTTTCTAGCAATACTGCTTCTCACTAAAGAGCTTAAAAAAACCACAGAATCGAGAGACAAATAGGCAGTATATGCAGGATTGTGGGATGCTGACATACAGCTTCGGCACTTAACTTGGCCCCTGGAAACATTCACCAAACGTCAAGATATTATTTGGGGCAGTTTATGTCCTCCATGTATAAAGCCCCAGCTCTTGGTGATCTGATCAGATCTATTCCCTGTTCACCTCCCTTTTGCCACTGTCCCCTGGCCCTTCTCTTCTCTGGCTCGACGTCTGAGAACTCCTAAGACAGAAAACCCAATACATTGGTACCTATTCTAACATTTCCTCATTTCATGCATGATTTCAGAATTTACTCTGCTCTGTAAGCATATGCCACACTGTTGCCGTAATACAACCTTTTATTGCATGTGAGAAATTTCCCAAGAAGCCTTTCTCAATCCTGTACCTCTGGTTTGGTTTCAGGTACTCTCCTCCAAAGATAATCCTGTTTTCCATGGAAGACCGTGGGACTTCCAGTAGTTGGAGCTGGGGGCCGTCACCTGAAAGCAGTCATACATCTGTGTTTTTGCTCTTTCATTTCTGAAATCAATTTAGGTTCAAGTATGAGCGTCAGTAATCAGACCCTGTCATACATCTGTAATATTTGAAAATAAAAAAGTGTTTAAAATGCATACATGTTTACATTTCTTTCTAGAAGTCTGATTTCTTGCTGCCTCAACATAATGTTTAACAACTAACTGAAGAGGCAGAAATAAAATAATAAAAATAACAGAAATTTTCAGTCACCATCTCATTTTATAGAGCATTATATCAGTACATAGTTTTGCTATCACTTTGAGTTGATAGGAGTTAATTTTAAAATTTGTTACTCAGTGTTTTCACATGTGGGTTGACCCACAAACCTGTAAATGGTTGAAAGCAGTATTTGAGAGAAAGCATTAACTCAGGTGTAGGGATATGAAACCACTACAAGATTATATTTGACAAAGCAAGATCTGTAAAAATATATTTCCATTGACAGTAAGTAAAAATAATGTGGAATCTTACAAGGAAATTTGAAATTTATTAGATAAGACTTACCAGAGAAGTAAGTTTTCACTATTCCCTTTATGTTTATTTTCAAACACATTCATCTTTATTCACAGATTATATGTGCTGTACTTTAAAATTCAGCTTTATAGCATCCTAGTATCATTATTGATCAGACAGTTGCAGAACATATAAACCTCTTTAAAACAAATGTAGACCTAACGCCCCAGAACGCATTTGCCCAAAAGGCTTAGTAAACTCCCTGAAGTCACTTTCAGGATTTGATTTTTTTGTTCAAGGTTGTGTTTTCTCACAGAAAGGCAATTTCTTCCCAAGACATGTCTCTATTAAATGAACGCTGAATTGTGTAGCCTTCTCAATGAGTGAGCCTGAATTCTTGTTTTTCTTCTCTTTGCCACAAAATAAGAAACTTAAAGAATGCCAATATTTAGTCTCCAATTATATGAGGGCAGGTGGGTAGTGTGAGAACATAAGCCAACTTGAGGACTGCAAAGCTGCCTACGAATGCTGGGTTGCTTAAATAATGTTTGAAGCATGGTTCCCTCCCAGTTCAGAAAACAGTGTGGGCTCCTGTATTATGTGTGTAAGTGCAAGCAGGATAGTAAGCACAATATTACCTTTAACATATAAATGACATTAAATTATTGGGATGATTAGAACAGCTTCAGAATTAGTTATTTTCTCCATCTTCATTACTTTTGCCGATCAGAATAAAAGAAAATCTATTTAAAAATGGAAAAGTTTATGCACTTTTTACATGCTAGTCCTTGAGGTAACAAAAAAAAATTATATTGCCTTTGCCTCTTTTTAAATCACCATGGCATAGTTTTCAAAAGAACCTGGAAAAATAACAAAATAAGTAAAATTCTCAGGTGGTTTACTCGACTGAGAGCCAATGAGAACCGCACACAATACGTACAATACACATACATTATGTGCTAAGAGAATTCAAAAGTAAGAACACCCCCTGAGGAATGGAAAAGTCCAAGAAGGCTGATGGAGGTAGACCTTAGACAAGCAGAGAGGGACACGGAACATTTCAGGCATGCGGTTTGTTCAATGGAATGGAGATGAACCCATATTGTTTGGGAGTAAAGTAAGAAATAAAATAATTGGGCTGGAACAAAGGATTCACTTATGGAAGTAAGAGAAGATAGAGTTGAAGAGATGTGTAGGGACCCACTTGTCTGATCCTATGGAATTTAGACAGCAAAAACACATTTATTCAACAAATAAATGAGTGTCTGCTATTTGAGAAGCATTGCAGTGGACATTAAACAGATATCTCTTAAAAAGGTGCTTGAGCTTGAGGGAAGGGTAGAGGAGATAAATTTGGCTGAACAATACAGACTAGATTGCAATAACAATAGACAAGTTTAACTTGTATTGAACTGAAAGAGATGTATGTGAGAGCTGTTATGGAGGAAAAAGAAATTGGATTGAACGGCTGATAATGTGGGAAGAGAAATAGAAAGTTCAGCAAATAAGTTGGTTGGCTATTAGAGGGCTTTATGCTTTGCTTTAGGATTTAAAGACTGCAATGCAGTTCTGATGCTAATAACCCAACCTATGTCAAACTTGACAGGTGAAGGATCAAGTCACCCACAACACTGCCCTCACGTCAGACTCCAGCCACAATCTCTAGGGTTCCCAAACCACCCACACTTGGAACCAACTGGCTACAAATTTGGGGGTTTCACCAGATTTTATAATTTGCCAGAATGACTCACAAAATACAGGAAAGTGCTAAAGCTTTATTATAAAGGATAAAAATCAGAACTGGCCAAATGAAGAAACACATAGGGGAAGATCTGGAAGCTTCCAAAACATGAAGCTTCTGTGTTCTCAAGGTGTATCTCCCTCTCAGCATATCAGCCAGAAAGCTGAACTAAGCATCATTGTAGAGAATTTTTACTGGAGTTTCATTACAGAAGCATGATTGATTCAATCATTGTCTATAAAATTGAACTCAATCACCAGCTCCCTTTCCCTCCCCAAAAGTCATACTGATATCATAGATCTCAAAGCCCCAAACCTCTAATCACATGATTGGTCTCTCTGGCATGGCCAGTCTCCATCTTGACTCCTCTTGCTAGCAAAAGCTATCTAGAGGCACTCCATAAGTCATCTCATTAGCATAAATTTAGGTGTTGCCCAAGAAGTCCGCCATAAATTACAAAGGCATTCCTATCACTTGGGAAATCCAAGGATTTAGAGGATCCCTCCCAAAGCAGACATGAAGGCCATCCAAATTCTTTGCTATACAACAGAATGAATTTGAAGTAACTCTAGGCTCTTTCAGATGGAATTTTCAGCAGACACTTGAAATTCTAAAACAAACCAAAGAGAGAGAGAAAAGAGGACTAGAGATATGACTTTGGCCACAAAGTGAAAGGTCACATAGTACAAATCAGTGTTCATAGCTACTCAGCAAGGGCTACAATTGGGGATTAAGTCCTTGAAAAGAGGATACACGTGGGAAAGCAGCCCAAACACATACAGCGTATTTTTCTAAAGAAATCAATGCTTAGCCTGATACTGACATTAGTTTGAATAGAAACAATTATTTTTGCATCTTTCTTAACCAGATGTCTAAAATGTAGTTCTTCAAGCATATAAAAAGAAAAAATCCCTAAAGAGAATGTGATCAAAAAAATATGTAAATCCAAAATTGACATAACAGTGATTTAAATATTTTATTTTTGTTAGTCAAATGCAAATGTGATGAGTTCAGCATTATCAATGCTCTATTTACTTGGAAAGTCCTACAGCCGGTTATTAGGAGTAATAGTAGATGATAAGTGGCATCACTCTTTTTCTACCTCCTGGTTCTTGGGTGCATATAGTCTTCCTATTTGGACCTATGACTTAATGTGCATAGTATGTCTTGAAGTATAGCAACCCATCTTTGCACAGTATTTCCATCAAGCTAGCATTCCATTAGACGGTTATTCCAGCATTCTTTGACGCTAGCTGCCTCTGCACGGTGTAGTATATGATTCACTCAATGTATCCTGTGGTCATCGGTCTGTCCCTGTACTGGATTTGTTGTGAAGTTGTTTCCCTGTTGGATGGTGTTATGAAGGATTCAACGCCTATGATCGAGCTTTTAGTAAACCTCCAGGTAGTGTTGCTGACTAAAGCTCCGTGGGAAGGAAAGTCAAAACAATAACTGTACTGATGTGCATAATAGATATGTAGCCCTGTGAGGGTGAACTCCTGGCCCTTTTAATGGAGTAACCCCAGTTTAACAGAATTTTTAAATTGTAAATTGCTAAGTTTTCACTTGGCATCTGTTGCTAGAAGGCTGAACCTTCACAGTAGCTAGATCAGCCTTGGCAAGTGAGAATCCACGCTGTAGGGTCATGTATAGCCACCATATCTGCTACTATGACTACTCGGTTCATACACCCATTATGTCAGTTCTGACAAAGGCTGGCTCAAGTCACTAGCCAAAATACTTTGTCTACTTAGTTATTCAGTACCTCTGCAGTAGAAGATGATTTCTGGTTGACATTGACTTATAATACAAAAATCTTCAAACTGTGTGTCCTCTCCTATATGTCTCCCCACATACTTCTGCTCCAGCACACCTTGTCCTCCCTACTGTAATCCTTTTCTTTTCCAGTCCTAAGCCATTGGCCTCTGCCCAAGAATTTGCATACATTTTCACCTCAGACCACTTTTCTTTCCCCACACAGTAGATAACCATCAGTTTACAGCTTCACCCATTGGGAAAGATTTCTCTCTCCACTGAATTTCTAAGCCACCCCTGAATGTTACAATAATGCAGCCAACATCAATTTCCAGCTTACATCCACGTATCAAACTGATCTACCCATAATCCAAACTGAGGCTTTTTTCTTTCTTCAGCTGGTCATATCAAACCCCTCCTCCATCAGGCTATATATGCAAACTGCGGGAGGGCCAACTGTGGTGGGTGACATGGTGGTTGGGGCTATCTGCTTATGTGTCATACTCATTCTCTCTGGTCCTGCTCAGGCTCATACAGGATGTACTATTTCCACCTTATGATGGAATACTGATGAGCCTGTTCAACTTTATGACTTGGCAGGTCCAACAGAGCCCAATTTATAATAGATAGCTCCAAATGCATGGTCATTTGTTATCTTATGGACAGGGGTTCCGCTCTGTCTGTACCAGCGCTCAGCAATACAGCAGGAGGGGTTTTTCAGGACGCATATACTCCTCTGCTGCAGATGGTGAGTTGCCTTGCTCCAGAGCCCTGGGGACGTATGTTGTAATTTCCCC